CTGCTGCGTCTGCTCCTAAAAACTGCTGCATCATTTCTTTGAATCAGTAAGGCCTCAAATGCTACTGAAGAAGAAAGGATAGTAACAGATACCCTGGTTTGGAAAGTGTAAGCTCATTAGATTATTTCGATCGTTTCTGTCCTAGCATCATCTGGTTTCTCTGTAGTGAGTCTAGGATTGTGTAAAGGCAGGAGACTGGACCTCAGAAATAAAATAAAATGCAGAGACTTTCATCTGGGAATGAATAAGGGGAATTTTATTGCACTAAATCAGATCCTACATTAACACAAAAATCAACTGACAAGCATACCACATTCACTGTATTGTAAAGTCAGGATGGCTAACATGGTACGAGAGCTAATCACACATCTGGCTGATAAAGAGCATTGTAGTTTAATGGCTCTATAGTGTAGCTGGTTTAGTTCAGCACTTAAACGTGAAACCACAACCTTTGAACCTAATGCAGCAGTGCGGGTTTGATTCCATCATGAGGTCCTTTGTCTTTGTTTTCAGCCAGTTACTTCCAGTTTTAGTTTGATTCTTTGTTGTCTCGTGTGCCTTTAGTTTCACTTCCCCTTGTCATCTTGAATAGTTTCAGCTGTCTCATAGTGGAAATACACGAACGTGCCTGTATTCCTTTGTTGTGTCATACTGTGTTCCTCCCATGTTAGTTCAGTTAGTATTTTTTCCCTGCTGGTGTCGGCTGTATTTTTGATCTTCATTATGTTGTATTCTAGGTTATCATCTCCCTTTTCGTTCTCTTTAAGTAGTGATGTCAAAGGCAGGTCTGAAGCTATTTTGCTGGAATTTTACAAGGTTAATTTTATATACGCATAAAATAAACTGAAACTGTGTTTGAGTTAATCATATAATCAAGTGTAATTAGATCTGCTGACTGCCTCAGAAGAACAAGATGTGTGAGCAGAGGGCAGATGAGAGGATGCTGCAGGAAAAGAGAGGAACAAACAGACAAGACACAGACTGACATGGCTTAGTTTATCAACACGGTTTACCTACATATGTGAACTTCCTTTAAATTTTATTTAAGATCAGAAAGTTTTCAATTACATTATACTTACGTGTTCAGCTTCCTTACAGTTTGATAATGGTAACAAAGCAGAGTTCAGACAGTTTAATCTATTACTAAATTTACTTTAGATAGTGATATAGAGTGCATACAATTTAAAAAAGCAGACACCAAGTATGAGAATTTGATGTTACTATAGAGAACTATGAGAGGACTATTTTGAGAATATGGGTTCAGATGACTGAAAAGCTGTTTGATGTAGATGTTTAAAGGTGATAATTAGTTACACACACAAAAAAGTTTTGTGTCTGTTTTCTTTGAACATCTGGGTACATTTGTAGGTACCAAAGTTCATATTTACTCAAGTGCTGGTCTCAAAACTCTCAGTAACATTTTATCTTTGCAGGTTGTTGCAGTTTATTTTCTGGCATGGTTCTGGGTCGCAGTGTTTATGAATCTTTTTTGGTTATTGTTGTTGATCTCAAAGAATGAGTTACATTTACTAGTTTAGTTTTGTGGTGCTTTTGAGTTTTCTGATTGTACTATCATCTGTTGTGGTTCAGATGATTTTAGGTTGTTTAGTTTCCTTTAGGTTTTCCTTTCCTCATGTCCTGTCCTTAGTGTCTCCTGTGGAAGTCAGTCTTGTCTCCATGTTTATTTACATCTCTGTTTCTTTCTCTTTCGCTCTCTCTCTTCTTCGTCTCAGTCATGTCTCTGTGTTCTGTCTCGTTACCTGTTCTCATGTTCGTCTCTTGGGTGTTTCATCCTTTTTCTCTTGAGTC